AAACATTACAGTCGGTGTGTATGTTTGTTTAATGGGCGTGTGTTTGATGAGTGTGTACCTCAAGGCCTTCTGTTCTTCTTCCAGTCGCTGTCTGACAGCACGAAGATCCTTCAGCAGGTTTATGTCTGTGCCATTCACCCATGTGTACACCACATCGATGGGCATCGGGAGGCAAAGCCTGAAACAACACAAGCATATGAAGCAGAGAAATCCAGCAACATGCATATATTGCACACACAGTAGAATGCACAATTTCAGTTATTTTCAAATCATAGGATTTCATGATCATTTTCGATGTACTTATCCAAACACATACTTTAAGACAAAAATGCATTGTATGTATTTTTATATTTCATATAAAATATTTAATATTTCACACACATTTTAAAACCATCTACAGGATTAAAATTATGTAATTATATTTATGTGCATGCACTGGTGTGGAAATCAATATCTGTATGAATATACTAATAAATTTATTTGTGTGTGGTGCTAGCTTTATGCATTTTTATATGCACTGTATATTTTAAATGTAATACTTCAAAAGAAAAAAAAAAAAATTTATTTGTGTTTCTGATTGTTGACCTAACTAAGACTGCATAATAATTATAAAAAACAAAAAACATTTATTTAAACATTAAGCTTAAAAAGCTTAGCCATTATTATATAAGAAAAATGACAGGTTTGTGTAAACAAACTAATCTACATTAAAATTAAATAAATTTTTACAAGATATTATCTGGACCGGTGCTATTTAAAAAAAAATCTGTCACCAAAAGTGTAAAAAAAAAAAAAAAAAAAAAAGTATTAAAATATGATACTTTCATGATGGTTTTTTTTGACAGACATATTTGTCCTCTAATAACCTACTGTACTGTGTGTAACTATTTTAAACTGATGCACAAAGTGCTCTATTACTATGTAATGATTCTATTTTCACTGATCAACCACTCACCTCGTCTGAAAAGACTTTCCAGCAACATTATCTCTGTAGGAATCAAACAAAACATGGTACTGATCTCGACTCCATTCAACTACAACCTGCAAACACAACAAAACAAAAGCCCTCTCAGACCATTGATTACATTAAGAAATGCAAACATTTAATGCATTACAGCAAGTTCTCAAAAATGTTGCTTAAATATGCAAATGGGGCCTAAAAACCAAAACCAAGGTTTCCAGTGGGGATATTTTTATTACTAATTGCAAAATTTAAATAAAACTATTTTAAAGAATTTAAATATTTTCATTGAATAAAATGTTGTATGTGATCAGGCAAATCTTGTCTGATGCATAAATGTTGCCTGAAAGGTTGAGTGTAAAACACTTCAGATATGAAGTAAACTGTGCAGTTTGATGCATGCAATTGAAGAGCTTTTTGCCACTGTAATTCAAATTTACAGTCAGAAATTAATAAAGTGCAAAAAAATGCATACTGCACATTTCATTTCTATTAGGATGAAAAAAAAAACAACACTTTTTAAAATGCTGATAATCTCAACGCTAAAATTTGTGACACTGGTCTTATGTTGCACAGTTATGTCTACTCAGCAACAGCCAAAATATGTTGATAGATTTTTCTTTCATGCCAAAAAAACCCTTATTGAAATACTAAATGAAGACCATGTATGAAGATATTTGTATATTCCCTTCTGTAAATATTCAAAACAATTTCTGATTTGTAATAACTAACATACAAGGTCAAGAGCTTAATTTGAACAACATTATAGGTGATTTAATCAATATTTTGATTTATTTAAATCTTCGGATTCCAGATTTTTAAATAGCTGTATCTCATCCTATGATAACAGGCCATACATCAATGGAAATTTTATCCAGTTTTGATGCGGTTTAAATATTAATTAAAAAAATGCTTTGTTTTGTGGTCAAAATTTGCATAACATATGTGTGTGTATTTCTCTGCCTGCAGGGTCTCAACTGAAAGGAGTATTTCACCCTAAAATTTAAATTCTGTTATCATTTACTCACCCATCACTTGTCACAAATCTTTTCAAGTGTCTTTCCTCTGTTGAACACAAAAGCAGTTGTTTTGAAAAATGTTGGAAACTGGTAACCATCGATTCGCACAGAACATTTGTTTGACCTATTATGGAAGTCAATTACAGGTTTCCAACATTCTTCAAAATATCTTTTGTGTTCAGCTAAATGTAAATAGGAAACTCTGAATTCGAAACCACTCGAGGGTGAGTATATATTTTACAGTCTATGGTACAAAGTGAGTAAACTTCATTTCTGTGAGAAAGATTGTGATTTCCAAGACTGAGGTAAAGTTGGTTTTATATTCTCGCAATCTGACATGTATTCTCCTTAACATAACTTCTGACAACTTTGTCTTCTTTGGAAATTCTAAATAAAGGAAATCATATTAGCAGCCAATGACACTCAAAGCACAACATTGCCCACACATGTTCTCCCCGTGGTCGCGTGGTATAGGTCTGTAGTGTTTGTAAGTATGAATAAGAGTGTATGGGTGTTTCCCAGTGATGGGTTGCAGCTGGAAGGGCATCTGCTGCGTAAAACATATGCTGGTTAAATGGGCGGTTCATTCCGCTGTGACGACCCCAGATTAAAAAAGGTACTAAGGAGAAAAGAAAATGAATGAATGAATGAACATTGTCCAGTCAAATAAATGATGCTAATGTTGTTTTGAAGGCATACTTTCCTTCAGTCCTAATATTCAAAGTACCACGGTAAACAATATGAGCATACCACTGACTGAATGTGCGAATATAAAAGAAACTTCACCTCAATATTTCAGAGCACTGTGTGAGAGGTCAGTGTTGCGCAATTTGGCTGATAAGAGAAACACGACCTAAATAAAGCATGTACACTTGATGAAGTTGGCCCTAGTTAGTGCACATACCTCTCCAAATTGAAAGGCGGAGACGATCATGAGCACCAGTCCTCCGAAACACAGGTAAAGCCCGTATCTGTGGGACAGGCAGGTGTAGGTTTGCCGCTGCAGCAGCTTCAACAGCGAGTTAACGACCAACATGACTCCGGCCGACGGACAACATTAACGCCTCTCCCTCCATGAACACTTCACTGTCACGCTTGTTTAGCGGGTAATTAAAACGGCTTCATTACGTTAAAGATGTTGTCACTTCAACACAGAATCCATACTCATGCTGTGGTTCCTCTTTGGCAGTAGTCAGGTGATGAGGCGACAAGCGTTTCGTGTGCGGTTGTTTGCGCGAGAGACTCGCTGGCGACATCTGATGATCAGGAGGACGGGCAGGCGGGTAAACAATACAATACAATGCAATACAATGCAATACAATGCAATACAATACAGTGCAATACAATACTTCCTTTCCTGGTATCAGGGGCATAGACTGATCAGGGGTAACAAATAAATTAAAATAAAATTGTAATTTAATTGAATCAAAAATATATAAAATACAAAAATAAAAATATAGTGACTTTAGTAACGGTAATATATTATCATATTAAATTATACCTTATTAAATTAATGATAAAGTTTTATACAATTTAAAAATATAATATTATATAATATAATACTCAATTTCCTGGTATCAGGGGTCACCAATAAAATAAAATGACTTTAGTAATGTTTAATATAATATTTTCATACATTATTATTACCTTATTATATTAATACTAATTTGATATGATTTAATTTACCACATAATTTTAAAAAACTATTAATATTATTAAAATATAAATATAAAACAAATTATTTTTAAAAGTATACCAACTTATAAATAAATATATAAACTAAATTTACAAATTATGTTATATTTAATAAATCTAATATAATATAATTTAATACTCACTATCCTGGTATCATGAATGAAAATAAAATGACTTCATTCATATTTAATATCTTTATACTTTATTACTTTAATATATCAATGCTAAATTATTATACAATTTAATATTTAACACGTTAATATTACTAATATATAAATATAAAACAATATTAATATAAATGTATAAACTAAATGTACAAATGATGTTATTGCTATATTTAATAAATAGAATTTAAATTAATTTTACATTTGATGAATAAAAGTGACATCTATAAATGTCTAAATTTAATACATCTATAATTTCTGTTTATTTAATATACAATGTAATTTAATACAAACTACTATCTATCTATCTATCTGGTAGTATCTACATAAACTAAAAATAATATTAGATACCATTACATTATAAAGTTATTTATAGTATTATTATTTAGTAATATCATACACATATTAATATTAAATACCATTACATAAAGTATATTATGTATATAATACATAAATAATAATAATAATCTAATTTATTATCAAATCAACAAATTAACACAACATTGCATATCAATTTAAAATGAGTTGAAACAACAATTGCTAATTTTTTTGGGCGGGGGAGAACTAAATATTTTATGTTCAATCCACTTAAATTTGTAAAAACAATTCTGTTAACTTAATTGATTTATGTTGGAACAACATGAAGGAATTGTGTGGAATCCAGCATTTTTTACAGCGTAGAATATACAGTATAAACAATAATTATAAATATAAACTAAAACATCAATCTATAATAAATATTAGTATTAATAAAATAATTATTGTACAAACTGTTTAAAAAAATTAAATTTCCATTTACCAAAAATAATAATAATAAAAAAAAATTAAGAAATAATAGAGGATTTTGAGGTAAAGAAAAAAAACCTAACTATGTCATACTGGTTTAATGCATGTAAAAAGTAAAAGAAAGAAAGAAAGAAAGAAAGAAAGAAAGAAAGAAAGAAAGAAAGAAAGAAAGAAAGAAAAAGTCCAGCTTCTACGTGTTGCTCACATGTTGCTGCTGGCGGTAATACTTTATGGGTAAAACAATGAGGAAGAGAAAGACAGATTCCCAGTGGCCACGTGACACTATAGATACAGTTATAAACGTCACGTATTGAGTGAAGAGTATTTGTGAAGAGAAGTGAACGTCCGTGTCTTTCTTCATGTCTGTTCTCCGCCAGTCTCTTCACTTTTGTCTCCTTGAATGGTGATGAGCCGATTAGCCTCAGCCCTGCGGCGAGATGTTTTGGTTTATGGAAGGAATGTGCTTTCTACCAACTTTCCTGGTTATCTGGTCATCGAGCACGTTCATAATCTCGTATATCATCGCTTTGTATCGACAAGATGTTGATGTTGTCCTTCCTTACATCAGGTATGTGATTTCCCTTTAACCTTTTGTTTGATTTAAGCTAGTGTACACATCTGGATTTGACGTATTCACAACACTTAAACATACTAAGACAACAGAAATAGCTTTTAAATGTATAATATTAGTAACAAGAGCAGGTATTAAGCGGGTATTTGCATATGTAAAGCTGCAGGTTGTAAAAGGGATTGTGGAAAAAGTATTTAAAGGCAACTTGGTTTGGTTTCGTTTTCCACACAGAGAAGTTTAACGTTGGCTGGAGTTCAAAACTGTGAACTATGAATGCAAGGAGCTGGACGAGTGAACTACAACTTCGTTTTGTTTCTTTAAACTTTAGATTGTGTATTTTCTTATCTAAATTGCAACGTACATTATACCAGGATTTACAGAAGACACCTGCCAAAATTTCAATAGTTTATGTAACTATATCTGCATATTTAGAGCAAGATTTAATATCTTTTATAATATTCAATATTCTCATTAATAGTAATACTTTATATAATATTTCATATTTTATTGTGCATTAATTATTGTATCACTAAATAAAAGATACACTGAATGAGTATTTAACATTAAAGGGTTAGTTCACCTAAAAAAAAGTTAAAAATGCTGTTGTCATTTTCTCACCTTATATTTGTTCAAAACCACAGTTCAGAGTTTCTTCTGTTGAACACAAGAGAAGATATTCTGAAAAATGCTGGAGCTGGCACCCATTGACTTCCATAGTTCTTTTTCTTTTTTTTTACTACTATGGATGTTCATTCATTTTGTTTCAACACAAATCGATTAAGTTAAAGTTAAGTTGACTGAACATAAAACAAATAGAGGCTAATTTATACTTCTGTGACAAGCGCATGAGTTTGGTCTGACGCAGCCTGTAGCGCAGTCGCATAGCCTGTAGCGCAAGCTCTGTGATTGGTCGGCTTGGTAGCCGTTACGAGTGTGGGCGGTGCTGAGAGGCGCGAGCCCGATGGAGTGAGCGTTTAGAAGTTTCGAGTCCCGTGAAGGAGCTCCAGATGGAATCTTTTGTTTTGTGTTTACCTAATGATTAAAATTGTTGTACGTTCGCCGGGTTCCCACCTCTGAATGAGCGAGTTTTAGCTACTTGTATGTTAAGGTAATGTTCAGAAAAAGAAAAAAAAACACCTGAGAAGAAACCCGACACAGAGGAACATTTTAACCTCCTGCCACCTAATGTTTACAAGTGTTATTGCAGAGCCACACAAACAGCACACAGTAGTATAAATTCACGGCTACGCGCAAATCAGTCACAGCGATCACTTGATGCAGAAGTATAAACCAGCTTTAAGCTGTGCCCAAAAAAATTGTAGTTAAGTAGTTAGAACAAGCAGCAAAAAAGCCCGTATTTTTCAAAGTATATATTTTGTGTGTTTAAAAGAAGAAATAAGAAGAATTAATTTTAATTTTTGGGTGAACTATCCTTTTGAAAAAAAAAAAAAAAATCACTCATAACATTTTAGTTTAGCTATTTGAAACATTAAAGTAGATGCTTGCATTTAATATGCATAATCTCTAAATGATACATTTTTTATTATTTTGATTTCGGAGGAAATGTCATCAGCAGTTTAGAGTTAAATAATACTCTACTATTCTCAAACAAGTAACTGTGAATCGTGAAAATCGTCAAATGTTTGGGTTTCATTTAATATTAATTATTTTTTAATACATTCCAAGTGCCAGGTTTGTGTCATTGTACTTTTATTTAAAACAAAAAAAAATACAAAAATTCATACTTTTGCACGTTTATGAATAGGCAAGATCTTTCTGAATTTCTGAATGTTAGCATTCTTCTGCTTATAAATATAAAATATCTTTTATGTTTTAATCAGTGATACAGGGGCTACTCCACCTGAGAGCTGTGTGTTTGGATTCATGTCGACAATTACGGCATTCGCAGGTATGACTAACAATCAGCTCTTTGATTTCAGTTTGATTTGATATCCCGCTCATATTTCATGACAGTGTAAATCCCCCCCTCGGCCGCTTCAGGAAATTCCTCCCTGCTATCTGTCACAACCTTTAGGAAGTTGCAAAAGTTGAAATCAACTGCGACCTTCTCGGTTCGACATGTGAGAGGAAAACGGTGGGAAAACGGTTGATTTTTCTTTAGCAACAATGGAATATCACTCATTCTGCTCTCACTTCTCATTTTGATGAAAACGAAAACAGTTTTTTCCCTCCACCCATGACACACACACACACACACACACACACACACACACACACACACACAGCTGGAGTTCAGTTTGTTATGATACTCTGCAGAACTGCAGACAAAACCTCAAACAACAGAACTACAGAAATGAAACCTTAGGCCAAGTCACAGGTTATACGTGTAATAACTACAGCTTTATAACCTGGTTATTTCATATGACATCATGTCGTTCCTGACTCAAAAGAGGTTCATTTGTCTTTAAAACACAAATGAAGATACAGTTATAGCTATCATTATTAGAACACAGCATTTTTAAGAGGTCTAAGTTAGAATTTGCCTTTAAAGTACCTATAAAATGAATAAAATACGTACATAATAATGCTCTATAAACCGTTGAATAGAGCCTGAATCTTTTTTCAGTAGATCAGCTTGCATGGATTCATTTTCAACTAAAGAACACTGTGCGCTAGCAAAATAAACACTGTAAATTTAGATTTCACATGACTAAGTGTTTAGCTTCAGTTGCAGAAGGAAGAGAATATTAGTGTTGAAGTTCTCAGGAAATATATTGACACCATGCCTGAGAGATGTGCTGCTGTATTTAATTGCTGTAGAAACTTTTTTATATCTGTTGTGCTCAGAGCAGCCATCTGCATGGTTTATCAACATTATGAAATGAAATCATGTTCTGGAGGCAAACAATTTCAATATATCCAATATTCCGTAGTTCTGTATTTTTAATAAATGAAAATAACTTGTAATAGTTTCTGACTCTCCATTAAAAGTTTGTCAACCTAAAGTTCTGATACTTCAAAATGTTCATAAAATCTGAATGAATCAAATGTTTTGGCTCTTTAAAAAATAGTTTTAAGGGAAAACTATTTTAATATGTACACTATGTAAACACTTTTTCCTGCCACATGTATTTTGCCATATATGAAGTTTTCTACACTTTGATATACTAAGCAAATTGATATTGTGTTTAGTACATTACAGAGCAGATTCTAGTGCATGACGTTGAGCTCAGTACTGTACGTTTGTTTTCCAGCCTTTGCTACTATGTATGCTGAATATAAATTTGTGGAAAGAGTTCATGAGAGAACTGGAGCCGTGCCCCCTACTCTGAACAAGGTCTCATTTGGTTTTGGAATCTTTTCTTGCATTGGCATGTGCCTGGTAGCTACATTTCAGGTATGTCTATAAATAAAAAAAGAAACAAAAAATTATGTTCTTTCAAACGTATATGACTTTGTTACTTTGATAGAATGCAGTCAATCAATCAATCAATCAATCAATCAATCAATCATCTCATCCACCTATAAAATTAATCGAATCTCAACCTAATTAACCCATCCAACCAACCCAGCCACCCATCAACCATCCAACCAACAAACCAACCCGCCCATCCATACAAACCAAACTATCAATCAATCAACCAACATCCATCCACATCCATCACTCCATCCGACCATACAAATCAATCAATCACCCCATCCATCTCTCTATTCATCCACATAAACCAAACAATCAAATCAACCAACCTTCCATTGCATCCATCCACCAATCCATCCATCACTCCATACAAACCATTCAGTCAATCAACTAGCCCATACATCACTCCATCCATGCATACAAACCAATCATTCAAATCAACCAACCTCCCACTGCAGCCATCCACAACTTTATCCATTTAGCTATTCAAACCATTCAGTCATTCAATCAGCCCATCCATCACTCTATCCACACAAACCAATCAAATCAACCAACCTGCCATTGCATTCATCAACCAGCCCATCCATCACTCCATCCATCAAGACAAACAAACAAACCAATCAATCAATCAGTCAATCAACTAGCCTTTCCATCACTTTCTCCATCCATAAAAAACAATCAAACCAACCAACCTTCCATTGCATCCAACCACCAACCCATCCATTCATATCAATCAATCAACCAGTTAATTAACTCAAACAACCAATCCAATCAACCCACCTATCAACCATCCATCCAACCTACCAACCAAGCAACCCATCCATCCATCCATCCAAACCAAGCTATTAAATCAACCGACCAACCAACCAACCAGCCCATTCATTATTACATCTATTCATACAAACTAATCAATCAACCAACCAGCCCATCCATCACTCTCTCTATCTATCCATACAAACCAATCAACCAACCCATCAATTAATCAATCAACCCATTAACCTATCCATCCTTCCATTTCAATCAATCAATCAATCAATTAATCAACCAACATGACTATCCTTCCATCAATCCATAAAACTAATATATCAACTCTACATTTATCAATCAACCAGCCTATCCATATTGAAACATAAAAGGGAGTCAATAGTGATTTAATGGCACTCATGTATTGTATGCATGTTTTGTTACAGGAGACGACAGTGATGGAAGTCCATGATATCGGTGCTCTTTTATTCTTCATTTGCGGGGTTGTGTATGCAGTCATTCAGAGTGTGATCGGATACCGCGCTTTTCCATACGGATCTTCAAAGTTCATGTGCCATTTACGTACATTTTTTTCCACTGTGGCCATTCTAGCTGCAATACCCAGTATCCTTTTCTCAGAGTAAGCACATGAATTTGCATCTGCTTGCATGCAGGTCATCCACATCCAGCATGGTGTTCAAAGCATGCTGGTTTTCCATCCAGACAGGCTCTGTTTAACATTTCTGATCAAACAGATTGTCCTTAATGCTTGGTTTCAGCAATAGCATGTGGGTTTCTTGTCGGGACAAGCAAACTCCACTGGGACAGCAATGATAAGGTATAGTTTGACAACAACACATTCCAGTGCTGAAAGTTACTTTTATTATTGAGTGCTTCAAGTTGCTCATCTTGATCTCCTGCTTTTGAAGGATTACACACGTCATATAGTGAGTGTTGCGTGCGAATGGATCACTACCTTTAGTTTTGTCTTCTTCTTTTTAACATACATCCAAGAGTTCCAGGTGAGTGCATGAGAATAGATGAGACTTACACTATTAATTAAAGGTTTGGGGTCATTAAGGCTCTTTTTTTTTAAAGATTGAGTAATGATTCTGAAAATTCAGCATAAGTCATTTTAGTTCATTAAAAACATAAAATGGAAAAAAACAAACATTTGTTAATAAAACTAATGTTACCTGAAATAAAAAGGTGTATTATTTAGATGTTTGTATCAATTTATAGACAGCACAAAAGCAATGTTTTACCTTCAGAATAGTTTGCAGGGATGCAGTATGTAAGTTTGACACCCAGTTGTTGAACTAGGTATTGCATTCCTGGATCAAAACAAGTGCAGGTTGCCAGATTGACGACCAACAGGATTTAAATCATGTTCTAAATAAAAGCAACGGCATGCGATAGTGGGATTATTTTCCATATTAAAGGGAGTTTTTATTCTAACCAACACTTTAAATTGATATATTAGAAACGACTTCTATTTCTTGTAGCTGAACAACAGAAAACTGACAGTGATCACCTCAGTTATCCCTTATATGCTTTATTCAGTGTTAAATGCTAATAATGTGAGTTTGAATGCCATTTTACATGACATGTATTGTTATACTACTGAAAGCAGAAGCAGATAGTTCACCTTAGATCTTGAAAATGAACAGTTTGAAATTGAACTTTAGAACTGTGACTCAGTGTACACCAACTCAGTGATTCAGCATGAACATTTAATTATGTTAAAGAAGTTTAATATGTCTTAAATAGATTACAAAACTTACCATTTCGTGAGGGAGTGCATATTCTGTGCTTCTGAATGGCTGTATTTAATTTTCTGTCATGTTTCGTCTGGTGCAAACAGTCAAATTGCTTATCTTAAGGAAAGTCTCCACTTTCCTTCCTAATCTGCAATTGCCTCTCTGGCTTTGGATAAAAGCGTCTGCTAAATGACTAAATGTAAATGTTATCACTGCAAATCTCATCACATAACGTGTTGTTAGGACATGGGGTTACAATGTAACCTGCTCACTTAATGTTTATGTTCATAATATTTATATTATATTCTAATTAATAACCTCATGTGGAACTTTAAATCTGCGTCTCATTTCGAAGCTACTGTCCACCAGAGGTCGCATTTCGGTCATGGACGCTTACTTTGAAAGCCATTCGGAATGAAGGAAATACTCTCGGATACCTGCAAATGAATGATAATCTCCCGGAAATCATGCGTCTCCCTCCTCGCTCTTCAGATACGGCGCACAAACCCTCACTATTCAGATATGCTGCCTCATCTCCACCCAACTCCCTCCTATCCCAATAGGTTCTATCTATTGGTTGATCTGGCATTGAGCAGGTTAAAAGAACTAGCATGGAAAACGCATTTTCAAATCCGAATATCTGACTTCAGCATGAATATCTGACATTCAGATAAACAAGAATGTTCACTTAGCATGTTTCGTAAATATCTGCAAACATATTATGGTATTTTTATCATTTAGAAGGGTCAAAAACTTACATACAGCACCTTTAAGAAATCAATATTTGTTGGAATAATCCTGATTATCAAAATCACAGAAGACATAAGAAAACATTTCGTTGAAAAAAAAAAAAAAAAAAGATGTAAACGACAATATATTTATTTGAAATTCTGAAGAAATGTTAGAACTCTATAGAATTAAACAAACAGCAACTAAAAGTAATCAGATGACACAAATATAAAATCTAAATTCATAGATATTAAAATATTCACATTTTTCAAAAACAAAACCCAAACCTTTGAATAATAGATTTTTTTAAAAGCATTTTATGATATTCACTTGAGCGCCTCCTTGCTTATATTAACTACTCTTTTATTTCTTTTTACAGCAATTCACACTGAAACTGACCGTTAACTTAAAAGAGTATTCAGGACTGTGACATAACTGAACCTCATACTTCACTGTATGTCCCACTGTTTTTGGTGCAGTTTTAGTACAAATTGTATTTTTATACAACTTATTACCTTTTTCACGTTGAAATGTTTGCTGAAATACTGTGTTATCTGTTCCAGTGTGTATTGTTTTGTGGGATACAAAGGCATAATAATGTACTTGAATTTTAATACACTCTACCCGCTTAAGGCCCGACCATTTATAAAAGCTGCTTGATAGTGATTCTGATTTCATGAAACATTTACAATCAGCAAGACAAGATAGTTGAGCACATCCACGTTTGCATGCATCACTGTAAATGAATCAGTTTTAGGTTAAAAATCTTGCTTTTTCAACGTTTTGCTTTAAAATCATGTAGCTGAAAGTAGGATTTGCTCTAGCACTTTATTTAACGCAGTTATTGTGAATGGAAGCCCATTGCTTGTGCAATGTGTGTGTGATTTTGTAATTGTGAAATAAAAACACATGATGATGATGATTATTATGTGCATGACTAAAGAGAAGTGATTGCTTTATTTTTAAGTGACAAACAAAAATAAATACTGATTTTATTTAGCAAGGGTGCATTCGTTTGATGAGAAGTAGAGTAAAGATATTTAGATTATTAGAGAATAATAAAATGTTTAGCATTTTTATTTGAAAAGACAAGAAAATGTTTCTTAAAATCACCAGAGTATTGGATTGATTTCTGTAGAACCATTGTTTACTGGAGATTGTAGTAAGGTTACCTAAAAAATCTGCTTTTCGCTTCCGAAATAATATTAAAATAATAATAACAACAATCACCACTAAATATTATAGTATTTAATAAAATTCAGTTTGATTATTTAGATTTATTTTAAAACATTACTAGCTCCAAACTGTAATGTGTGCATGTAAACACATTGCTTCATTTCATTGACTTCAGATATAACATTGTTTAATGACAATTTACATTCTGAAAAGACAATGTAAGCAAATCTATGACTGTGCAACATGATCAGTATTATTTAAAACAACACACCAAATTTCTCTAATATGTAATGTTTTGTTATTGATATTACTGTGATTCAAAGTCTATTTATGATCGTTTCAACTATGGAGGAGGAATTGCTACAAGAATGAGCTACGTGTCTTTCAAATCTCCCATACTCGGTTTCTCTGGAATTATGAATTACAGTTACGTGTTTGTGTAAGAAAAGTTTGTTTTATTCTGTAAACTTTAAATTCAGTATTTGAAGACAAACCATATTTGATGAAATAACTGCCTGTGCCCTGATTTTTAATAATTCAGAATACAAAAAAAAAAGTTATTTTGACTAAAAAAAAAGGGTATATTGTGCTTTAAATCAGTGTTTCTCAACCACATTCCTGGAGGACGACCAGCACATGTTGGATGTCTCCTTTATACACAACCATTACAGGTCTCTCTGCTAATGAGTTGATGATCTGAATCAGATGTGTTTGGTTAAGGAGACATGGAAAATGTGCAGAGCTGGTGGTTCTCCAGGAATGTGGTTGAGAAACACTGCTCTAAATGAAAATATTTTATATCAAATTTGGAAAACATTTTATTACGCTATAATAGAATAAAACAAATTTTACAATTTTCCTCAAAACCATACCTAATAAATCCAGAGAAACTTCAAGTGGTCTGTTATTTTTTTCCCATAGCTGTATCTCATACAATACACTGGCACCTTTCATGGTAATTAAGTGTACATATTAGGCATTTCAGGCATGTCATACAGGAGATGAAATATTCATAACAATCACACTATAATAGCGCTTTTTTATGATCATAATGATTCACGATCTCACCTAGTGAGCAGCTGCCCTCAGAAACCATCATTACAGGTATGAACACTGCCGTTTCTGAGATGTAACACAATGGTGGTGTCATCATCACTAAGCATCTGTCCTCTTAAGGACACTCAAGTGCATTTACCCTGCTTTGAGATGAGCAAGTCTCATGATGACCTGAACTCTCCGATCCAGGACTGTGAGGAGGCAGGGCCAACCAGTCAATCACTGAATGATGATTCACTGCCTGAGCTGTCATCATCTTGCTCCTCCAACCTTTTTTTGCTAGCATCTGGAACTGCTGCATCAGGGGTGCTGAAGGAAAATGCAATGGAAGTATTAGCTACATAAACAGTTCTTTATTGTAGATTAATAAATGGAAATATTTTTACCCTAATTAATACTTACTCAAGCAAATTGGGGTCCAAGCCTTCCATCATCATCTTATTTTTAATGGCCATGACTGGAACACCCTGTGGCACAGAGCAAAATATTGATATTCTCATAAACATTGCATTAATCATAATGAGGTAGAGCTGCACGATTCATTGTTTTAAAAATTATGATCTTAATATTCAATGTCAGCAATTTAGCTGTCTAGGTTCATTTTCAGCTCTAATTTTCATTCATTCATTTTCTTGTCGGCTTAGTGCCTTTATTAATCCGGGGTCGCCACAGCGGAATGAACTGCCAACTTATCCAGCAAGTTTTTACGCAGCGGATGCCCTTCCAGCCACAACCAATCTCTAAGAAAAGGTTGTCATCTTGGAATAACATAACTTGGAATGTTGCGACTGACCAATCAGAACCGTTTAATAGTTCAATATATAATTTCTTATTTTATATTTAAATCAATATCAGTGTTTGAACTGCAGAAAGGCACCACTAAAACAACTTGTAAAAAAAAGTCACATTTTGTTCAAAGGGACATCATTCATTTTCCTTCAGCGTAGTCCCTTTAATTATCAGGGGTCACCGCAGTGGAATGAACCACCAACTTATCCAGCATATGTTTTACACAGCAGATGCCCTTCCAGCTGCAACCCATCACTGGGAAACACCCATACACACTCACATGCACACACACACACTACGGTTAATTTAGTTTCTCCAATTCACCTTTAGCACATGTATTTGGACTGTGTGGGAAACCGGAGCACCCTGAGGAAACCTACATGAATACGGGGAACATGCAAACTCCACTCAAAAATGCCAATTGACCCAGCCGAGGCTTCAACCAGCAACATTCTTGCTGTGAGGCGACAGTGCTAACCACTGAGCCACCGTGTGACCTCAAAAGGACATCACAACATTTTTTTAACTCCCATTTCCCTTGAAGTGTATTGATGACTTTACATTGTTAACCCAGTAGGTGGCAACAAGAAACTGTTGATTTGTAATTGGATTTTATCCAGGTAAGTTTGTGTTTAGTTTGATCAAAATTACGAGTTTTCAGGCTCAAGAAGATTGATTTTGACAACACTGCTCTACTTTTAATCTAAAGCTTTAAATCTAATCTATAGGTTTAAAAGGAATGTTGACAAGCAACTTCCAACATGCCGGAAAAGCAGCTAACTATTTAAAAAGCTACAATGATAAGCAACTAAAAAAATGTTGCTAGGCTAGTGTCTGAGCTACTTGTAGCTAGCTACTCTTCAACACTGCTCCAAATTGAAGCCTTTTACATTTGAAGCCTTTTATATATTTTTATATAAGTCAAACTTGTCTTTTGTTATTTAAAATGTCTATTATTCATTCATTTTCTTGTCGGCTTAGTCCCTTTATTAATCCGTGGGCGCCACAGCGGAATGAACCGCCAACTTATCCAGCAAGTTTTTACGCAGCGGATGCCCTTCCAGCCGCAACCCATCTCTGGGAATCATCCACACACATTCACACACACACTCATACACTACAGAAAATTTAGCCTACCCAATTCACCTGTACTGCATGTCTTTGGACTGTGGGGGAAACCGGAGCACCCAAAGGAAATGCATGTTCACGCAAAGGCAGGGAGAACATGCAAACTCCACACAGAAACGCCAACTGAGCTGAGGTTCGAACCAGCGACCTTCTTGCTGTGAGGCGACAGCACTACCTACTGCGCCACTGCCTCACCCATGTCTATAATATGCTATACAACTATTTTTACTATAAATTAAATAATCACATTGTTTTTAATTGCCAATTAATAATAATAATAGCTATATATTTAAATTTACAGACAAATATTTACATATAAGTTTGCTTTAATATAGTGGGCTTTTAAAACGACTGTCTTTTGAGCTGTTTGTAAACCTGCATTATTAAAATCAGTTGATTTGATTGCCATGGAGAAAATAATACTTGCTTTAAACTTTCACTGCACCAGCAGTTTACTTTAGCTTTGTAAATGTGTTTAAATTCATATTTCTGATAACCATATCTCATAACTTTCCAACAGAGAAGTGAATTGCACTAATTGTCTCATGTTTAAGCGTTTAAAATCGTTTCAGTTGATCCAGAATATCTGCTTTAAAAGGTGGAAATATGTAAGTTAATTAATGGGAAAACTCTGCTTTAAACAATTTTCTGGAAAATGCAAACAAACAAAAAAATGACATACCACTTGCACCATCTTCAGGTATCTGGCATATCGCGGGTCTTTGGCTACAGTCATTATATTTTCTGCTGGAGCCTCTGTTTTTGGCTCCTGAGGGGCCGCTTGTGTCTGCTGGGATGCCTGAATAAAAAATAACTGTGCATTATAGTCTGCGTGAACTGGAAGGTGCTGGAGAATTTCAAATGATCAGTATAATGGTGTATTTACAAATTAAAAGGGAACACTGAGTAGGGGGCAGGGTTTTATTTTTGCCAATTTATATATATATATATATATATATATATATATATATATATATATATATATATATATATATATATATATATATATACATAGCAAAGTAATGGCTAGAGGGGCGTGGGTAAGGATATTTCACTCAAGCCTTCAAACTGACATCAGAGGAGGACTGCCATTCCAGAGCAAAGCAAATGGCCAGATTTTGATTATTATTGTTAATTGTTCACCTTAAGCATAACACTGTGCACTAACATTGTAAATTCGCATTTCATATGGGCATTGAAATGGGATCATGATATTATTATTATTATAATACTGTGAAAGGTTACCTCAGCAGGGGGAGCAGTGGCACGACTGGTATCTGCTGCGGGGCCGTTTGTCTCTGCAGGTGCTCTCACTCCATCCACTGTCACTTCTTCCAGACCAGGAATAGAGGCCAACTGCACATTTACACATAAATATTACTCATTAAATTATGTTTATATATATATTGTTTTAATCAGTTTGTATTATTTATATATATATATATATATATATATACACACACATTGTCTTAACCTTATTTTTTATTTCCATGTTAATTCTAACTTACTAATACTTTGTAATAATTTATTAATGTTTTATGATATTTACGTTTTTTTTTGCTTCAAACTAATGCTTCATATTTCAAATCATTTACTTCTACTATATTTTCTCTTCTTATCCCATAATAAGAATCCTGTTTTGACTCACCTTTGCTTCCAAAATGCTTAGTGTTGTCTCAATCTGCTGAATTCGCAGTGATACTGTGGAGAGTTTCTGTAAAAGCAAACCCCATCATCAGTTCATTGCCATTTTCAAAAAAGTTTAGGTGACTGTAGGGATTAAATTTAAAATGCAACAATGTCGTAATTGTTTTATTTAATTATTATTATTATTTTTATGCAAATAAAAACACAATTTATACTGCACAAATGTAGAAGTATATTATATTCAAAATTGGGTTAAAAATATAATTTGGGAAATAATGTAATGTACACATCTAATAACACTACTCATTTTTATTTATTAAATATTTGAATTGTCATCATTATCAATGATGTATCAATCACATAATCATAAATTAAACGGCATCAGTTCACTGACATTTTCAAAAAGTGTGAGGCACTGTAGGGATTAAATTCAAAAGGCATTAATTTCATTTAAAAAATGCATATAAAAACCTAATTTATACTGTAAAAAAGTATCTATTAGTACTTCACTCATTTCTATTTATTTATTAATTATATGAATTTTAATGATATATTACTCACCATCATATATATCACACCGTCAGTGCATTGACATCTTTAGAAAGTTTGAGTAAACTGATGTTGTGTATTTATTTATTGCATTTTTTATTTATCAAGACGAAATTTATACTGTACAAATGTACCGTTATATTAAATTAATAAATGGGTTTAAAATATCACTTGAAAAATCATGTAATATCTTTTAACACTACTCATTTCTATACATTATTGATTCATTTTCCTTTGCTTAGTCCCTGATTTAATTGTATGAATTTCAATAATATATAATCAATTAAATAATCATACATCAAAAGCAATAAATTCATAAGACATTTTCATGAAGTCTGAATGACTGTAAGATGAACAAACCTCCTCACAAACTGTGGAGAAGCGGTTGAGGAACCTGACCGTGTGAACGATGAACTGATTGAGGAAAGCCACGATTCTCCTCTGCTGAATTGCTGGAACCTTATAGAAGAAAGTACAATGATTAATTATTACATATTATTCACAGTTAATTAATATTATACATATTAGTCTAATAAGAGTGAAAACAGAGCTCTCTGGAGATCATGTGAGCAGCAGCTGATGTTGCAGGGTGAAAACAAACTCACCTTTGTCAGATCTACTCCTGATCCCACAATGGGCAAACCGTCCGCGTCCATGTCGACAACTCTGCTGCGTTTAACTGGCCCAGACACACGGATGTTGTTTACGCTTTAAATATACGAAATATGTTGGCACTGTGCAACAAATACATCGTTGTGAAAAGAACTCCTCACGTGACCTTAGTGCGTGCAGTACTTCCGTGTTTTAAACATAATAAAAGTTTCCAACGTTTTATCGTGTTATAAAAAAGCCAAAGTAATTTATCTTGATCACAAAGCTGATTTTGCTTCTTTATATTTAATTATATTAAAGATATGTGATGAAATAGCGTTCACATATTGGCTTGTTATGAGAAAATATTATGACGTAAAAGTCCTTGACACTTCCACGTGATCATATTAAAAGCCCGATCACGAAAATGAAAGTCATCTAAAAGGACTAACAATGTAGCATAATAATAGCAGTTTATACTTGTCATATTTCATATTTATGTATCATTCATTAATATTTTTTCGGCTTAGTTCCTTCATTAATCAAAGGGGATGGTTCCAGCTGCAACCCAGCACTGGGAAGATACTTGTATATCATTTAATAATTATAATATTAATAATAATAATAATGACAGACTGATTGAATAATTAATAAGCAAACATTTTTACACAGTATACATTGACACATTTTAGAATAAAAGTGATAATGGCATATACTACACTGAATTACAAAGTGTAATAAAATAAATGTATAATTTAATTAAATTATAATTAAAAATATATATAATCAATTAATTAATAAAACAATGAGGGCGAGTTTAAATAAATGTATTTTATAAAAAGATATATTTGTTGTACTTCACAAATAACTACTAACATACAGTGCTCAACTTAATTGAGCACAGCCCATTTTGAAAATGAATATTTGTATCCATTTCACAGTAAATATGAGCAATGTATCTTGGTGCATTTAAACAAAACAGATTTATTAAACAGATATATTTATTAAAATAATATTTAGTCAGAAAACCTGTTTAGGAATTGAAAGATAATACAATTCAATTTAAATATTGCAAAAAGTTTTCAATTTATTTTGGTTCAGTTGATTTTTCCTCTTTTTTTAAATTTGTATTTTATATTTTTTTTATAACATATAAATTTGGCTGTACTAGTTTTTGGACCGCTATCGTAAGTTATTTTTTTAGATAAGCTTCCAGATTTGACTTCAGTACTGACTAATCTAAGATAAATGCACAAATATAATACTGTAAAGCTTCTTATTAAAAGTATTAATTTAAAAGAGAGATTTGTGAGCAGTTTACTTATAAAAGCTGAGCACGGTACCTGTTATTATCCAACTCCATTGTTTTACTTAATTGACCACACTCCCACGGTTTACAGCTTTAAAGCATTAAAAAAATAATCAGTTACTGTATTGCATTTAAACGGACATATGATTATCCTTAAATTGAATTTCACCATTTTTGTCTTATAACTAGATTTTCCTTTTTTTAAGTCCTCAAGAAATCAAAACTAACCATATAATTTTATTAGAGCACATTGCTAGATTTGTGGTGATAAATTGATCTGTGCATGTCATTAAGAAAAAAAACAAATGTTTCCCTCTCTAATCTTTAATTGAAATCTGAAAATGCACTTCCTGTTTGTTTTTAAATTATCAGATTATGTGATTTTAAGGGGGACGCGGTGGCGCAGCGGCTAGCACATTTGCCTCACAGCAAGAAGGTTGCTGGTTCGAGCCTCGGCTGGGTTAGTTGGCATTTCTGTGTGGAGTTTGCATGTTCTCCCTCGTATAGGTTTCCTCTGGGTGCTTCGGTTTCCCCCTCAAGTCCAAAGACATGTGCTATAGGTGAATTGGGTATGCTAAAATTGACCATAGTGAATGAGTGTGTGTGGATGTTTCCTAGTGATGGGTTGCAGCTGCAAGGGCATCTGCTGCGTAAAACATGCTGGATAAGTTGACGGTTCATTCCACTGTGGCGACCCCTGATTAATAAAGGGACTAAGTGACAAGAAATTGAAAAAATGAATGTGATTTTGAGGTAATGGTCGTGTCTAACATATTTAATCACGCTACTCCAGCTGTCAGTTGTGACAACAAACAGAAATGGTGAGCAGGAGGAGTCTGTTAGGTTGTAATAACTCTTCTAAAATTCCTTTCCTGATCTTTCTAAATAAAATGCCTACTTTACTACATCCATTCAGCCCGCGGTAGAAAAAAAAACAAGCCACGGCCACTGTTTGCTCATTTAAAAACTCTAGGAAATGAGTCACAATACGAAAAAAAAAAAAAAAAAACTATTGCAGCTTCTGGTTCATGCGGACTTTAAATACCATTAAGCAGAAGTGTGGGTCCTCAAGAACAGACATCTGTAAAATCCCAAGAATTCACTAGAGAGCAAGTAAAGGCCATGAAATGCAAGCATACGACGAATGCTACACTTTCACTACAAAAGAAAAAAAACAAAGAGAAAACTCAGATTTAACAAACTTGAAAATAAAAGAGACTTTAATCACGAGTCACATAACATATTCCCACACTTGTTGCCATCCAACAGATCGAGATAAACCACCAAAACAAGTCATAATTTGAAAAAAAGCACTGAAACAACAGCATTCTGTCAAGCTCTCTCGATGATAGGCAATTGTGTCTGATGCAAAATGTTAAAAAGCATTAAAAAGTGGACACATTTATGGATTTAGGAACAAAAGTCGATTTTAAAGTGTAGTTCAGTCATCGAGTGCAAAGTCGAATGGCTCGTAGTCAGAGCGTACTTGTTTGGCCTGATCCTCTTCCTCCTCTCTGCTGATTTTACACTCTCTCCAGTCTGAGCGCATGGGGATGTTCATCACCGCCTCGCTCGCCAAAACCTCCCTGCGGCAACATGAGTCGACAATTAAGCAGACGCATATCAGGACACGCGCTTGAACTAGTGTGCTGGGTTTATCATTACCTGCCAAACTGCAATGGGAAGTTTTTCTTAATGCGATAAAACAGCTTGTCGCCTGTGTCCAGCTCCACATAGAAGTAAGGAGTTCCTGGAGGAGCGATCTGCATTGAGAAAGATTAGTTAGTCTGTGTCAGATTTCTTGCAAACACACAGACAAAACATTGTCATTATTTTGGAAATTATTTGCTTAGTCATTCAATGTACGCATAATAGCAGTTAACTAGTACATTGAGGAACAGATTGAAAAGTCACAAATAACACAATTCTTTAAACAAGTTAAATAATGTTAATAATAATATAAAAGTATTGTTAAAATAAACAAAAAAAAACTTTTAAACGTATAAAGTTTTATTAGGTAATGTATTTACTAACCAATTACTAAAAATGAACAAATTATGAACAATACTTGTACAGCGTTTATTAATCATCGTTCAACATTTACTAATGCATTATAAACATCAGTGAACGTTCTTGTTAACAAAACTGCACCATGATTTAACAAACTACTAATTTAATCAACTAATGCAAATTACAAGATATATACAGGAATCAGAGAATGAAATAATACCTTTTGAACCTTTTTAAAGACTCTTTTCATACATTTTAAGACCTCAACGACAAAATTTTTACTTACTGTATATTTACTAAATACTAATTGTAAACTAATACATTATTCACATACTGAATACAAATGCTAATCCAGCAGGTGGTACCTATAGAAAAGCAGGAATAATGGTGTTTTCCTGATTACTGAAGTAAAGAAATGGCAAATCTAGCAGGATTTTATAGATTTCCAAAAAAACTACACAGCATCCCAATATTCAGAGATTGAATTTAGGCAAACTTTAGCATACCGATACAAAATGTCATTTTAATTGCATTTAGGACTTTTCAATACTTTTTAAGGGCCTTAAATTTCTCTAAATGGACTTATCAACTTTTAATGCTTTTTAAAACCCTGCAGACATCCTGAATTAACATAAACAAATACTGTAGTAAATGTGTTATGAATGCATGTTTATTGATTGTTCATGTTAGTAAACGTATTAACTAGCATTAACCAACATAACCTTTTTGTAAAGGATTACCAAAATCAGAACTTCTTGGTTAAAAATGTTTAATTGCATATTTTTGCAAATGTTCAATATACCCATTCTTATTCTTAGTCTAAAAAATAAATAAATAAATAAAATAAAATTTTTAAAGATAATTATACTAGAATGTAAAGGCTAAATGTTAAAAATAATAATAATAATCATGTAACATTTAACATTAAATTATGAAGTACCAGTATATTCAATTATACTCTTAAATTATAAGTATAAATGTATAATAATAATTATATGTATAATAAATACAAGTATAAAATAGATTTTATAGTTCTTAACTTTATGCATAAACAATTTCAAAGTAATAATTTGTCATGGTTATATTAACAGTACATAAAATTAAAACAAATATGCAATCTAGCAGTACTGTAGTAGTACTAAATAAAATTGACAACACAAACGATTATCAGTATTATATATACACACACAAATGAAAATACAGATTATAATAGTGGAATCATTTTTAATGTAATATCAAATAATTAAAAAAATAATTTAAAAAATCTATTTAAAAAAAGTAAAAATTTAATGATAACAAACTGACTAGTAACAGTACATTTTTTATATAATTGTACTCAAGGAAATACGTACCTGGATCATATTTTGAAAAGTATTTCAAATACAAGCAGGTAAAGGCAGAAAAATGTGCCGAAAGCACAGCTGTGAGAAATATTGTTGAGTGTGACAGACACACAGCTTGGTTTGTACCTGTTTGAGGTCAGTATGAGCTGGAATCTCCATCAGCTCCATCTGCTGCTCTTCAGCTTGTGTCATGAAGGCCTCTTTGATGTCCTCGGTGCTGCATTTCTCCATCGGCACCGGCACTGCCTGATAATAATCACCCAAAAACATACACGTGTTACCGTATGCCTTGCTTTCTCAAAGGGAGGACTTTAGGATGCCATGAATTTGGTCATCACAGGGATACACGTCCCTCAGAAACATTTCCTCGCCAGCGCAGACAGACAGAAAGTCTATCCACTCAGACTTAAACTGATGAAATGATGTCC